AATCTTTAGTTACAAATTTACAATTTCACCAAATCACAGCTCTAATTTTAGCAAATCTCATCCAATTAATCGAAAAAATAAAATAAAATGTTCAAAAGGTAAAAGACGAAAGAGGTAAATTGATTTTGGCTTGAGTGCTTGAATTGATTCAATTGAGTGCAACCCGAAGGAGAGGATTTGGGTGTCAATCTTATTTGAGAAAACGAGGTTCGTCGAGTGCCGACTGGAGTTTATGCGGGAGCCCGACGGTGATTTGGAGTTTCAGAGCACAGTGCCCGGCAATCGGAGAATTGGAGTGCGCAATTGCGTGCGGCCGGCGGCGGAGATGATGTTAGGGTTTACTAGATTTCAACTTTTCTTTCAGATATCAAATCTCTAGCCTGGACTTTGGAGAAGAGAGATACAATAGACATATAAGATGAGGAGAGGAGATGATGATGACGACTGCGACGAGGAGGAAAAAGAATGGTGTTATATTTTCTATATAAATAACTGGTAATATATGAAAGGATTGAGTTGGGCCTGATATTTTTTTTTGAATAGTTTTTATTTATAATGGGCCTAATAAATAAAAATATGGGCTTCAGTAACATATGGCTAATGGCTGATATAACTTATATTTATAGTATCGATTTTCAGTTCGATCCGGTTAACCGAGCATTTATATCCAAACCGAACCAAAAACTAAAATTTTAACAAAATGCAAACCGAAAACCGAACCAAAATTTCGGTTTCGGTTCCGGTCCAAACTGAAATTTCGGTTTCGGTCGGTTAACCAATTTTTGTGCACCCCTAGGTGGAGTTCGGTGTATACAGATGAAGAGCAACCCAAAGTTGCTTGTTGCCAGCCTTTTTCACCCAACTTGTTCTATATTAATAAATTGTAGAGAAAATTACTCCTCACCAGTGTTCTAAAAGTCGCTAGGCGCCTGCTAGACGCTCGGCCAGCGCCTAGCGCCTAGGTGGGGCCTAGAAATCAATATTAAATACCTTATTTTTTTATTTATTTTAACCAACTACAAAATAAAATTATCTCAACATATAATAAATCGACACACCTAAGTCCAAATAATAAATTTAATATATTTAAAAAAAAACATGAGAACAAAATAATGTAATTAGTATTTAAAAAAAATAAAAACTTATCGCCGAGCCCGCTTAGGAGCGCGTAGGTACGCCTATGCCCGCCAAGGCGCCGTCTAACCGCCTGGCCGCCGAGCCTGCCAAGTCCGCCTAGGAGCGCATAGGCGCCTGACTGATTTTTCTGCCGATTTGGACAAATCGGAGGCGCCCGGGCACCGCCTAGCGCCTAGGCGTTTTTAGAATAGTGCTCCTCACACGATTCCACAACATTTTATTTACACTTTCACGGCTCAATTAAACTCTTTTGCAAATTTACAAAATCGAGAAGTTTTATTTGCAAACACACGAGATATTTAAAGAGATCGGAACGGATTTAATGGGATTTGTTACCAAATGAAAAACTGATCCCACTTTTCATGCTTCATTACTCTTCAATTGACCCACGCTTCATCCTCTATGGCGGATGGAATGGCGCGGAAACCGGCGGGTGGGTTCGGCGACTGAAGAGGATGAATACGATAGTGCGGCGTTCCTTTCGGCTCATGAGTGGCAAATACGGCGTGCTCGGTCGAAGGCGGTGGAAACTCGAATTCTTGAGACGGAGATGCACATAGAAGGTCGAGTTCTCGAGACGGAGGATCGGCGGCTTGACATGAGGGTCGTTGGTGAAGGTGATGTTGGAGAGGCAGATGGTCCCTGACTCCGACACCGATAACTGTTGCATCATCGGTGAAGGAAGTGTAAGGTTGGAGAAATTTGCAAACGTTCATATATTGAATCTTTCGAATAGGCAGTATATGTTAAGTATATAACCAGTATATTTTCAGTTTATAGACATTTTGTTTTGTATTTTAGAAGATTTTTACGAATACATCCGACATGATTTGTTTCAATGATTATTACGGATATTTTCAATATATTTTCAATAATTTATGTTTTGTGTATTTAGAAGATTTTATTGTTGATGACGAGAATTGACATATGATCAGCCATTTGTTGTTTTTTTTATGTAGACCATTGTCTGTGTTGTTTTGGATATATTCTCCGTAATTATGTATATGTTGCGTTTATAGACAATATATTTTCAATATATGTTGCGTGTTTATTTAAGCTCCTGGCGATGTCGAACCGTTGATAACAATATATAAACTGATTATATATCAAACATAAACTATTTAACTGGTTATAACAATACTGATCACGTATCAAACACTTAAAATATATAATACATTAATAGCCATACACCACCACAAAAGTAAGAAACAATATAACTCGTTTTTCAGCTCACGATTATATTACGAAGTAAAAGT